AAGAAACGCAAGACTTGGAATATTGCCACATACAAATACCATTCTATGGGCGATTATCCGGATGTCATACCGACTGTGGGTACAACGGACTCGTACTCAACCCAAATCGTGAGTTCCTCCGGTTCTTTTGCTTCTGAAACTTACAAAATGCCTACGCCATCAGGGGGAGCTCGCGCATCAACTTGTCAAACGACTGTACGCTCGCACCAACAAACGAAACCACGACCGACAAATTGCGAAACATGAGCGTCGGCGGCGGCTCTTACGGGGGATTGACAGGCGGATGCGAGATGCCGCTGCCTCAGCGAAGAGCGCAGAAGACGCAGCTGAGCAACCGGTTGACGGAACTGCCGCTCCAGAGCCCATACCGCCGGCTCCCGCCCCGAACGTCGTAGGTGACACTACCGCGGACCCCGCCCCGGAATCACCACCACATCTCAGAGTCCAAACGGACATCCTTCAATGTGTATGAATTCCCGTCCATGCTGGCCGGCGATCCAGCCATGGAGGTAAGCAAACGTGATGCATATTTATGATGTTCCTGACGCGCAACCTAGACCTTTTTACCAGATTTACGGTCTCATCTCTTGAGTCGTTTATTGGGGCTCCCGTACGATGGCGACGAGGCTCAATTTTCGGAGCAAGAACTGATGGACGTCACGTTTGCTCGGGACCGCCTTTACACCCACAAGGTGATGCGAGTGAATTTCACCACATACGACGCCCAGCGTGACGAAGACTCAATCAACCCTCGGACACACTCTGATGTCATGGTTCTATCGCATGAAGATCCAGACGACCCTAACCCTCATCCATACTGGTACGCGCGCGTGATCGGGATATTTCACGCCGAGGTTCGTCATGTCGGACCCAGATCCCAGAGCCACAGGACGAGGCGAATGGAGTTTCTCTGGGTTCGTTGGTTTGGCCGCGATCTGTCCTACAAAGCTGGATGGAAAGCTAAGCGGTTGCATCGGCTAGGCTTCATTGATTCAGGGTCGACAGACAGCGCGCCTTTCGGATTTCTGGACCCGGCCGAGGTAATTCGCGGTGTCCATATTATCCCCGCGTTCCACTACGGCCGGACATCATCACTTCTTCCCAAGTCGAATGCACGGCGTCCAGAGGACGAAGACGAGGACTACGTATATTACTACGTGAATTTGTGAGTGATTGGATTTCGTGACTGGGAAAGATGCTTAATTATTTCCAGCTTCGTGGACCGTGATATGTTCATGCGGTATTTTGAACGCGGGGTCGGCCACAAATCTGCTAGCTCCTCTGCTAGTGCCGCCGTTGAATCGACCGGAATCGATGCGGCCGTCGTCGACGACGAAGAAATGGATATTGATGAGGCGAATCATCCGGACGAAGATGGCGAGGTTGCAGATTCAGATGAATCAGACCGGGAGGATGATGTCCCTGGTGAAAAATCTGACTCTGACGCGTCCAGTTCGGGAGATGAGGAGGAGCCGGAGGGCGAGCAGGAGGAGGATGACGCAGTAACGGGCCAGAATGATGACGAACTGCTTGATTCTGCGGGATATGATGATTTGTAGATACCTGCACTTATTCTTGTAGTTTCCTAATATTCCTACGAATTTACTACTCGTGTGTCTCTCGTGGCGCAAGCATTTAGAGCAATTAAACGCGGTGGTGACGTTACACGTGATCTGTGACCATCACGCAGCGCCCTTTAAATTTGGTGCCCCAAGCGCCTTCCTTTCTCTCTTACCACCATCATGTCCCTTAACGCCCCCGCCCCCGCCCCCGCTTCCGGCCCCGCTCCTGCACCCACCCCCACTGTCCCTACCCCCACCATGCCGGCCCCGTTGAAGCGCCAGTACGACGACATTGTGGCTGCCGCCCTTGGCAATACAACCGACGATACACCTGCCAAGAAACGTCGCAAAAGATCCTCGAGGCAAGGATCATAGTCACTCCCCTTCTCTCTCTCCTCTCATCTCCTTAACAGCGCTACGTTATCCACGGTGGATAAACTCATCGCCGCTGCAAAGTTCTTCACGCGGGCGATAAGTCCATACATGGATATCAGCGCCGCGATGCTCTATGGTCCAGAGCACCACTGGGGCACCCCCGTGGTCCCTGTGGCCTCGAACACCGTCACTATACCCGCTTCGTGAGTCCCTTTCATTGCAACTGCTCTTTCAAGTCTGATATGGTGTCTAGTGAGCTCGAGCGGCAGCAAAATTGTACCGCAGCTTTCGATAAGCTCTTCTCCGTAGCGCCCGAGCTGCTCGAACCAATCAAGCAAATGTACCTCGATATCGCGACCAAGCCTCATCAATGGACCAAGATGGTTAAACTCGTGCGTCGCTACATGCATATAGTCACCCCCCTTCATGACCCATAGATGCAAGATGCGGCTACGAGCGCCCGGACGGTCGACACGAACACGCTGAAGCACTGCCTCAACTATCTTCTTCCAAACCCCGCAAAGGATGTCATACTCCCCCCGATCCCAAAGCAGGAGAGCAAGTCCGATCGCGGCCTCGTCCACCCAATGCTTCGCTATTTCATCCTTCCCTGGGTCGATCGGCTCAAACTGCCCCAGTTTCCTCCTGCCAACGCTCCGTGCGTGTGTATTTATGCGCATATACCCAGCTAATGTTTGTTCCCTACCCTGTAGTCGCGAAGAGCCCGACGTGGAGGACGCAGATGTGCCTCCCGCAACCAATGAGTGAGTCATTTACATCTGCGCATTTACTCGCCTGCCCATCACTTGGTGCCCAGATTTCTTGCGCTGGTCGTCGCTGGCAGGGTCGACCTCAAAGCGACGCAGTTTCCTTCTTTCTTCTATGAGGAAGGCACCTACGACCCCAAGGAACTGGACAAAGGTCTTTTGCGCGGCGATCTTGTGTTACGTGTGCGTCCGTTGTCTGCTATGTTGTTTTTTCTGCTCAATGCCATCTAGGTTCTCCGGCACATTTGGACCGGGCCGTCGTCCGCGCTTTTCGGCCTCGATGACGGGATACCGGCCGTCTGCAACGCGCGCTACCATGCTACATACAAGGTGGACCGAGAGATGGTCGCATATGCAGGCGTTCAGGTACGTGCTTCGCTTCCCCCGAGGAGATGATACTGACCTGCGATAGGCTCGTACTATGCTCGGGACGGCGGACTGGAAACGCCGCCACGGCTCTTATAACTATGAAGACTTATTCAACTCGATCCTGACCCTCTTCGCGGACCCAGAGGACGACTGGACAAAGGAGACACTCGACTGGTTTCAAAAGTAATGTGATTCTTTAGCGCAGATCCTGGCTGACAGTTTGTACAGAGGCGTGTTCGGAACTGCTACTATGGATGCACATTCGGATCCCGAGGCCGAACCCAACGCGGCGGTCAGTATCATGGCTCAGCGAGCAGCTCGTCGTGCCGCCGCGTCAACCTAGAATATTCTCCAGCTACCAACGCTCACGGTGTGTCGGTCCCACTACCTCATTTTCACAATCTCTGACTTGTCGGGTGAAATCAGACAATCCACACTCCTTCCCCACGCACGAGTCCGCAGGTACAGCCCGATACCCGCCCAACTAGCGCCGGCTCACAGTTTGACAGGTTCTCCACTGCCGTCCCCTCGCTTATTCAATCCAGTAAGTCTGCAATTATTATCATTGAACTTAACTGACTCATTCCTCTTCACGCACAGATGCTTTCACTTGGCGTACTCACTCTTCTCAAGCCTGTATCGGTTTCTACTGCTGCTCACCCCGCAGTAAGTGTATACATTTATTATCCCGTCGCTTGTCTGACTCGTTGTCTTCACCCACAGATGCCCCCGCTTAATTCTCTCGTAAGCGGTTCCTTTAGAATCTTTCTTCGCTTGCTGAGCCACCTCATTCCATAGTAATGCAATTATTCAATCAATGCCGCATGTAAGTTACCGCCTTCTATCGTGCTGTATTTTTGCTTACTCCGCCTCCATCTTGCAGCTGTAAACTGAACCCCGCATCCCATTCGCTTCGTGTAAGTCCCCACCCGCACGCTATCCGAGTCAACAATCCTGACATAGCTCCTCGCAGACCGACCTGTAGCTATTACTCCGTAACTTACAATTGTATCGTTCCGACTTGTGCAATGGAAATTCATTTGATACATTATTTGAGTACGAGGAAGAGAATTGGAAAGCCTTGCGAGGCCCCCAACGCGTTACTAGCCTGTCCAAGGCCTGCCAAGGGCATCCGAGGCTCGGACGGCCTTGCTAGACCTTGTGAGTTTCACTATCCCCTTAGAATCTCCTTGTGACACGTTCCGCGGGATAGGTTGCCCTCGAGAGGCCTTGAGCCCCTTGCGACGGCCTTGGGCGCCCCTTGGCAGGTTCTTCCGCTTTTGGTGATGTAGGAGAAGTTGGAGAGAGTCGCCAGTGGATGGAAGCCGATTGATCCGAACTGAACGATCCGACTGATCCGAAATCCTGCCTCCAACCTTTTCTCCCTACTGCCTGTCCCTTCTCGTTCTAAGCAACTCTGCCTGTGTCTCCGCCAATGACCTCACTCGGCCGCCTGGCTAAAGCCACTCCTTTCTGCCTTTCTTGCTGAACTGACCTTCCAATTGACTCCTGCGCGTTGCCTGCGCACCGCTCCAAGAATCTTTGCTGTCCTCGAGTCGATTTCTCCAAGGGTCCACCTCTGCTCGGTGCATCAAGGTAGATCACACTTCTCTTATGAACATTGAGCAAAAATGAGAGAAACGCGGGTTCGACTCCCGGTGAAGCTGTGATGGACGACATATATAACGCTGTTTGGGCTTCAACTTATCGGTCCTACTTACGGCCAATATTCCCGGACCCGATATTCCGAGCGTCCCTCGCTTCTGACACTACTCCAAACCCTCCTCCATTGATCTAGGTGCATGTTCTCAACACTTTCTCTCCCTTGATTCTCCACCTCCTTCTCGCTCCCGTTCGCGCCTTAAAATCCACCGCTTGCCAGCTTTCTGGCTGAACCCTCTTTACAACTGACTCCCATATTTGCCGAGGCCTCGTGGATTAACGTAAATCGTGCTCGTCCTGTTAGTATTTACCGAAAACGTGCAAGAGAGAGAAGCGGGTTCGATTCCCGCCGAAGCCATGCCATGGTCGTGAAGGTAGTTTTTATCGCCCATTCCTCATGAACTCCCTCAGCACGGCGTAAATCAGCCCGGCTTATAGCCTCCCCACGGCGCCTTCGAACACCTTATCCCAACTCCTTGCCTTGAATTCAGGTGTGGATTTACTATTTCTTGCAGAGTGCACACTCTATCATTCAAGCCCTCTGCCACTCGAGCGAGTACTAGGAAACAGAATGAAAAATTGCTTCAACCCTTCACTCTGCTGCTCATCAAGGCGTCGTAGATCAATTTGGACGTAGATCTCGTCTTATTCAAAGATGCGGGCGATGTTGGCCCCGTACATACTGGAGCAGACACCTTTTCCATTGCTTAGCCTGCCACAATTCAGATGAAAAACCGCACAGTTTCATTCAACACTCACCTCGGTGCTTAAGGCTTGGCATTGTAAATCACTCTAGCAAGAGAAGCGGGTTCAAATCCCGCCGAAGCCGTGGGCCATTTCCTCACTCTTCCTTTTGTTCCGATGATCTCTTTGTTGCAACGGGGACTTCGCCGACATATGGCGGTCCAAGTGCACTTTTAATAATGCGCTATACACTTTCATGTTTTTCACTTTTGCGCTACTTATATCATGAAACTGACACCTTTGCGCTACTTATCGGAGTTAAAAAAGGACCGAAGTATGTAGCGCGAAAAGTGCGATTCTGCGCTACATACATTCACCCGGTTAGATTTCGCGCTACTTTATTGACAGGTTTCTGACTGCGCTACTTGCAAGCTTTCGGCAATCTCGCAACATATACATAATCACTTTTTTTTAGCTCCAAGAAATCTTCCGCTAGATATATTTCGAAGATACACGGTAGCTATAAGGCCCAGTTCAAGCCCAGTTCCATCCATTTTCCTACAGCTAAATGGTCACAGATTGTCACGCGTCATGGGATAAGGCCCGATGGTCCGATCACTCAAACACCGAGCTCCGCACATTGTTTTCAGTCGTTGCCGCAACACCATCGCTCGCCGTTGACAGCGATGAACTCCAATGATCTCACCATCCTCTCTCATTCTGAGAGCAGGGCTTTCTTTAAATGTATCCTCTAGTCTATAATACCCGTTCTACACCTATGAATCACTTCAATGACTTCGTCAAACTCTGGGGAAGGATGGGGCGGGAGAGGGCGAGAACGGCGGGGTAATGCCGACGAAGTGGCGACGATGCCAAGCGCCGGTACTTCGGAAAGATCCGGCGGACCGGGTCTAGACTTGAGTGACTGATGGTGACTTCCCAATTGAGCCCTGTATGTGGTGTTAGCTGTACAGGTAATTTTTGGCGGGGCACAGCTCTGAGCTAACTACCTGGGGATCCAGAACAGGGCCCAAGGCTAATGGCTATGATACAGCGCCCATGCTACAGCACGCAGTCCGCCTCTGTGGCCCTCGTGCATCGGCCCTCGCTTCCGAGGCTATGTACGATGCTGTAGCCATTACCATGTATCTTGGAAATATATATATAGTATATATAGTGGAAGATTTCTTGGAGCCAAAAAAAAAAAAAGTGATTATGTATATGTTGCGAGATTGCCGAAAGTTTGTAAGTAGCGCAATCAGAAACCTGTCAATAAAGTAGCGCGAAATCTAACCGGGTGAATGTATGTAGCGCAGAATCGCACTTTTCGCGCTACATACTTCGGTCCTTTTTTAACTCCGATGAGTAGCGCAAAGGTGTCAGTTTCATGATATAAGTAGCGCAAAAGTGAAAAACATGAAAGTGTATAGCGCATTATTAAAAGTGCACTTGGACCGCCATACCGACATAGGATTCTGTACCGTCGAGTCGAGATGTGCAACTAACCACCCCCACCCTCTCCCGCTGGAACTAGTGCGGATGCTCTTCAAACCCTCAAGAAGCTGACCTGTGTTGAGGTGGGGATTTATTCAAGCCCTCGAACCCGTTTCTTGAGGCTTCGTAGATCAGTGTTGACCACTCTCCATCTGCGTTTTCGGGCTCTGGTAAATTTGCGCGAGACATGCGGGTTTGACTCTCGCCGAAGCCCTGTTTGGGGTCTTTCCCAGCTTCCCTTTTGGTGTCAACTTTCCTCTTATCTTATTGCAGCAGGTTCCAATAGAGTCTAGATCCATAGAGGTGCAATCCGCTCGGAGATACAAATCAAATTCTCAGCAAGGCATCAGTCTAAGGGAAGTGAACAGTACAGTTTATTTAACGCCCCGGCTCGGTAGTCAAGGCTTCGTGGATCAGTATAAACCAATACACAGAGCACTCCCCCGCCGAGTTCGTGTCCCTGAACGCTCCTGATTCCTTTTATTACAGGGTCGATAAGCATTTCTCTCCGCACGCTGGAAATACGACGAGCAGGTGCAACCGAGCCAAGCCGCTCAACATTCATTTAGGCCCTCCTCGACACGTCTAAGATCCAGAGGGAGAGTCATAAAAAAGGATTAGACTAGCTTCATTATCTTATGGATTTTTTTAACGCGTCAATTCCGCTTCTAAATCCATCATTAATCAATCTTTGTGAAGTGGGACATTCCCTGGTGTATCGAGTGTTACCAGTGCATCAAAATTATTCTCGCATGTAGGACATGTGCCCCAAAATTACAGTGCCAGTGCCCCCATCATGCCAGGCCGCCGTTATTCGTGATTTCGAACTCCCAAATTCTCTGCTTGGATCATGACGCAGGAGCGCGTGGCGGGCAAGTCCACGCCCTTGATTGCGCGCGCGCACCACTGTCAAAAACGGGGCGGCGGGGCGGCGCAGAGATAATCGAGCACTCAAGAAACTGGGACGACGTTAGGCGAAGGTGAGTGTATTGTGCGGCATTTACATACCTGGGACGACGTTAGGCGAAGGTAAGAAACCTTCGCCCGCCGTCCCGGTCTACATATACATAATTAACCCGAGTAATCAATACACCATTTACATAACGCGCCAAGCCACCATTCCAACACACCCCCATGGCGAGGCACGTCTATGCACGAAGGCCAAGTAATTGGACCATTGCCTCGACCTTGACGCGTCCCATTGCTTTGGTGAGTATGTCGGCGGGCATCTTGTCCGTTCGAAGATGGACGACGGAGATGCGACCCTTGTGGACTTCGTCGCGAAGCCAATAGTACCCCAGATCAAGGTGCTTCATCCTGCCGTGATGCTCTGGGTCTTTCGCGACCGATAGCGCCGACTCGTTGTCCATGTGGAGCGTGGATGCAGCGGTAAACTTGTAGCCGAGCTCAGTGAAGAAGTTGCGGAGCCACAAGATCTCTTGACCAGCTGAAACTGCTGACACAAATTCAGCTTCGGTTGTAGAGAGGGTGACGAGTCCTTGCAAACGGCTCGACCAGCTCGTGGCGCCACCAGCCATGAGAACTACAAATCCGTTGGCAGAGCGCATATTGTCAGGGTTACCGCCGTGATCCGCATCGGAGTATGTCTGGAAGAGGTCGGAGGCTGAGTGAATGGGTTTAATCTTGTAGTCGATTGTACCCTTGATATAGCGCATTACATGTTTGGCTGCTGTCCAGTGTGCAAGCCCCGGGTTGCTCGAGAAACGCGCGAGAACGCTGACCGCATACGCTAGATCAGGTCGCGTTGCAATAGCCAGGTGCGCGAGTGCTCCGACGGCGTTGATGTACGGGATATTGCACATCTCTGCAGCCTCCTGGTTGTCCTTTGGTGATTGGGCTTTTGATAGCTTAACACTGGGGTCTAGCGGCGTCACAACAGAGTCGCAGTTTGACATGCCGAATCGCTCGAGGATGTCGAGGCAGTACTGGTGCTGCGAGACGGTGACGGTTCCACGGTTAAGGTCCTGCTTTATTTCGACGCCGAGGAGCCAAGAGGTAAGTCCGAGTTCTCGCAGCTTGAAATGCTTTTGAGCTCGAGCACGATCTGGTCAATCTTGTCTCTGGATTTGGCAGCGATCGTCATGTCATCGACGTACACTGGGACAATCACGCGATCGTCTTCCCGCTCGTACACCCACACACTGTGCTCACAGGTCACTCGCGAGAAGCCAATGCTTGTGAGCGCCTTGTGTAGTGTCTGCAACCATACTCGTCCAGTTTGCTTCAGCCCGTACAAAGACTTCAGCAACCGCAATACCCAATCGGGACTCTTCTGCGTGAAGCCCTCAGGCTGCTTCATATATATCTCCTCCTTAAGCTCGCCATGGAGAAACGCGTTTGATATGTCGACACTGTAGAGGATGAGCTCCTCGATGGCTGCAAGTACCAGGATTGACCGGAGGGAAGCCCATTTGGGTGTTGGTACGAAAGTGTCGTTGTACTCAAAACCTGGCCGCTGACCGCATCCCTGCGCAACTAGACGAGCTTTATATCGCTCAATGGAGTCGTCGGCGTTCCGCTTCACCTTGAAAACCCATCTGGACCCTATCGCACGCCGTCCTGGAGGTAACTCCACAAGCTCGAACGTCCCGTTTTGGACGAGGGCTTTGATCTCTTCGACGGCGGCGTCGTGCCATTGCATTCGCTCCTCTTGTGGTCGTTGCATGGCTTCGGCGTACGAGTGGGGCTCCGTACTAGAGCACGATGCCTTCAAAGCGCACTCAGATGTGTCAAACGCGTATTCGAGGGCTTCCTCGTGCGTGAGGTAGTCATTGTATTGCCCCGAGTACACGAAGTCTAGCCCGGCGCTGCAGACTTGTGCCGCGGCGGGAAACACATCGTCATTGTCATCGTCGGAAGGTAGCGGGGTCAGCGGGGAGTCGTCGTCGATGGGGTGGGGGTCTGGCTGATGAGTGTCGGTTCTGCCGCAGTGGTCGCAGTCACGAAGGAAGTGTGACCCGTCACAAAGTTGAAAGGAAACACGGTCCTTGAACTTGTGCAGCCATCGCCAATGTTATGTCCTCTTGCTTAATCGCCGGATTCGACTGGAAATCACGACGTATGGTGGACTTGACATCGGCGAAGTTTAGGTCCTCCTTCATGAGGAACTGCAAAGCAAAAGAACGATGGTCCGACTCCGAGGAGTTCTCGGAGTTCCGC